GCCATCGGTTCATGCCTGTGAGCACTTAATTTGCTGGTCACAGCCAGGAAGACATGTATGCTTCAGATAGCATAGTTGGGTATTTGGTACTGTTTTAATTTTGGTTATATATCTTTTCTCTAGGCTCCGAAATATTTACTACGTCTTTAATATTACCCTCTTCCTCATTGCCTGCCGCCTTGCAAGATCTCAGATGGCTCGAAATGTTTGGTTCTTCATCGTGAGCTTCTGTTATAAATTCCTCTCCTACTTCAGGGCATCCAGAATGCTCAAGGCCTAACATTTGGCAGTCTTCTTTTATCTGGAACCTCTCAGATACCTCTGAAACAGCAAACTGTTTCTCTAGATTAGGAAGTAACAAAGAATATGCCCAACCTCATTACCTGTCAAATGTGCTGTCATGTATTCATCCCTATTTCTTAACTATATATTCTTTTTATTACAGTGAAAGTCATATCCTAGCCTATAATTATACATATTTCAGGAAAAAAATTATTTCCAGATTATTTCCCAACACTCTGTATCCTTGAATATAATAAAATGCCAAAGTATACCCATCTTTCCATATTTAGCTTTTTTCACCTGGAGTGGACTAATTTCAACTCAATAAACATGGAAGAACACATGGTAGAAGCTGAAATATGATAAAGGCAATTCTAACTTTGGAACCATTCTGGGATAAACCTAGTATAAAGGTTTAAAATCAAGATAAGTAGAGGAAGAATAGTCTCAACATCCTCACAAATGCTGTAAGAGAAATAACTCTTCACTGAGAAGTATGCTTTTTTGTGTTATACTATAGAGTCCTGGTTGAGGGCTGGGTTAATTAGAAAAGTGGGCTTACATTTAACATTTTTCTTAACTATACTCACTTCTGAAACCTAGAAAGAACCAAGAGGTAGACATATTTATATGTAGAATGAGGGCTTAAGCATATTTGCATTGAGATTCAGTTTACTATGCTTTTGAGGAAAAATTCTCATAATTTGAATTTGACAACTATTATTTCTAAATCTTTTGAATCACCAGTTTTCCTGATAACCTTCAAGAGTTTCCTTCTTGTTCATTGAAGTCACCAAACCCCTTATATTTAAGCTTATTTTGCTCAGGCCTCAGTTATAGTGACTAAATGGAGAGGAAGGTCCTAGGCTATAAAAACCCAGTCCCCTGAAATTTGCCGTTGGGGAAAGCAAAATTTCAAATAAAATTTTAAATGCTAGTTTTAGTCTTTCTCTATATAGTAGAAATTACTAGTCTATGATCACCAGGATTTGCTAGATCTAGATCATTCCAATTACACCATGTTAACTGTCCAATGTACAGCAGAAAAGGATAGACTTTATTAAGTGACTAAGTTTAAAGACTAGGTGTTGTGTTTAAAATTATTTTATGTATCAGACAAATGACTTAGTAAAAACTAATTTATTCCAAAATTTCTATACTAATATAACATCCCAACTTTCCTCATATGTGACAGATCAGTGCATGTTGGATTGCAGTATTTCATGTTAAAAACCTGGACTATTATTCAAATATAATACCTGGGGCTTAAGCAACTAAAAATAATCGCAACTAGAAAATTACACAAGCATAAAATGTTAACAGCAGTTATATTTATGCTCACTTTCTGGAATAATTGGTAATACTCAGAAAGGCACATTCAGGTAGTTAAAGTGTACAAGGCCTTGAGGGCAGCTTCTACTATTACTTGAGAGTTTTCTGAACCCATAAAGGCCATTTTGAGGGAACTCTTCTGGATAATGTCTTTCCCAATCTCATCTAAATTCTGGGAACGACTTTCTAGGGCTGACAACCCATCTCTGAAACAAAACACCCGGTCATCTTTAGTTTGAGATATCTATATAATATTTTTGAGTTAAATTAAGATATAAGCTGTAGATACAGTAAAAATGAAATCAAGATATAATTCAAAGACATGGGATTAAACATAATAGTTCTAAGAAATTACTCTTTTGATTATTGTGTTTCACTAATAAATTCCACTGACCAAGTATTTGACTTTTGATTAAATGAAAATTTGAATTAAAAAATGTTCTCTTCTAGTGTTGTCTTTAACTGACTACTGATCTCCTCCCCCATCCCCCAAGAAAAAAAGGATATAATCGTCCAAAGAACCTACCAGACTGATGTAAATTAACAGAGGTATATACTACTTCACTTTTTCTAATATCATTAATAGTTATACTTACATGCTGAAGCATGTTCTGTGGCATTAGAGAAACGACAGGAATAAAGTTCTCTTGTGAACGATTAAGCAGTATAAAAGCAGGTAGGCAGATGTATGAAAGAAAATCCCTAATTATTTTAAAGCAAGACCAATTAACAATTATTTGAGTGCCTACTATATACAATGTAATGAGAAAGAACCATCTACTTTTGGGGGGGAGGGGATGATAAGTACAAAGATATCTGTTTAAAAAGTTGTTTTGATAATCCCTATATTCTGCACCACTAGATACCTGATACAGTAATGAATATTACAGTTGAAGACAGTCACCACTTGAGGCAATTAATACCAAAGAAAATTAAGTCAGAGGGGCACACAACTCAGAAAAACATTTCTCACAATTTTATACTAACCTAACGTTATCTCTAATGCTTTATTTAAATAACTGATTTAGAATCTCAAGGTAATCAGACTGATCTGAGGACTCATAACCAAATAGTGTATATCACAATAAACTTAACAATTAAAGTAGATCAGCCTAGATACCAAACACATCAATAATTTTCAAAGTTCATGGAAATCACATGCAAATTTCCATAGGGCTGTTTGTCTAGAACTATAAATCTAATAATTATGTTCTGGTAATATAAGAAACTACCTATAGCAAAAGCTAATTGTTGTCCATTTGCCTACAAAGAGATGGAAAAAAAGCTCACCGCCTAGATTACTTTTTAAAATATATTTTTAAAAAATTTAACAAAACTAGCAGTTGCTAGTTTTAATATGTAACTGGCTTGACAGGTGGTTCTGACACACAAAAAAACATAGGTGTCCCTACTTTATTTGTAACACCGATTTCTACCTTTAACTGTAAATATAGGTGGGGAGATGTGAGGTTGGGAAACTTGCATCAATTCTAGAATACTTTAAAGAAATTAAAGCTAAGTATAGTTCAAGAAATCACCAAATTGATTAGTATAACTGCTTGAAAACAGAGTAGAATTTATAAAATATTTATTACGTAGATACATGAGTTGTTGCTGAAGGTCTGCTTTAGTATGTTGCTTTTATTAATGGGTACTTTTCCCCACACCTTCTAAGTTTTACTTTAAATTACAAAATAGTATAAATGAGTTATATTTAGAGTTGTTAATCTAATTTCTTTTGATAAACATTCATCTGCAAAAAAGTGACAATTTTACTTCTTCATTCCCAATTTGGATGCCTTTTCTTTCTTTCCCTTGCCTGACTGCTCTGGCTAGGACTCCCAGTACTATGTTGAATAACAGTTGTGAGAATGTACATCATTGTCTTGTTCCTCATCTTAGAGAAAAAGCTTTCAGTTTTTCACCATTGAGTATGATATTAGCTGAGGGTCGATAAACATTCAATTTCTATTTGCTAAAAAACCCTATTTAAACATTTTGCTGATTATAATCAACTGTTGACAGGTTTATAGACTTGAATCAAGTGTTCAATTTTGATCATTTTTAACATGAAAAATATAAAATAAATCCAATTTCATTCAGTAATTTAGCTCTATCTGGAGCAAAAGCAAATGTAAACGAGTCATATGTAAAGATTGCTATATCTTTCCTATAAGGAAAAACAGCTTAAGTATGAGGAACTGAGGCTTATTGGGGGGTACATAATTGTAAAAGGACAAACTATTCTATAAGGAGTCATTTTAATTAGTCCATTTATTCAAGATTAAGAAACTAAATGTTTTTTTTTTTTTTTTTTTGCTTTCTGTCCTCTTAAAACAAAAAAAACACCTTACAAGAAAACCAAACAAAATTCCAAGGCTGTTTGTTTCCTACCCTTAATGCAAAGTGATTTCATTACTAAAGAAATATTTCGAAAGGGGCAAAAAACAATAAGGATATACTGGATATTAAATCTAGGCACCATACCATAAGGTAGTAAACAAACGGTGATCTATTTGGATAATGCTAACAAAGGGTAACTGTGTCTCCCTTTGGCTTGCTGAAGGTTTGCTAGAGTTCCAACCAGAGGGGAAAAACTTTATAGGGGCATGGTGAGATTTTAAAGGTCATAAGGCTTAGGTTTAAGTAATTTTTAAACAATCAAAAATATTCATATTGACTCAAGTTCAAGATTCAAAGTTTTAAATTTTGAAGAAGACTTGCATATAAATTTAATTTTTCGTACCTGAATTATTAACTCAACATAAAAAAGAATTCATAATATAGCTCTTCTTACACCATTATAAAATTAGGAGGTCTTAGTCATTACTTTAGGAATTCGTAAGTTTGTATTAAGGATTGTAAATTTTGTTTGGATTTCTAATTTATTATAAAAATTCAGTGATTTCTATCATAAAATGTATATGAGAAAAGTGTGATATTAATCATCTAAGTTGAAAATTATAATTTTGTAGTTCTAACAAATATTAAGCTTTTCCCAAGAGGTAGTGTTAAGTGTACAAATACTGCAGCAGAGAATTCACCTAAATATTTCATCTCTTCTTATAGGCCAATGTATGCAAACATAGTTTTTAAAAAATCCATTTTACATAATTTGGGTTTTAACTTTTAAAATATCTAGGCTGAAATATATACAATTTAAAAAATATTTATATTGAAATATATACATGTAGGTATTATGAATACCTTAATCAAATGAAAAGGAGGACTGAGTAATAAAGTTAGGTATCCTACTGGAGGTACACCCAGGCAGAAGCCAAAGTGCATAATAAGTAGTCAGTACAGTGTTCTCTGTAATGAAAGATAAACATGTGGTGAAATCAAAACTCCTAACAAATCTTAATATGCAGGTATACTTCATCATTCGTCATCCAAAGGCTGGTTAGAATCTTAATGCTGATTGCCAAAAATGTGACTCTGCTATTTGGGAGTTTCAGTTGGAAACATTTCTTAACTTTTATAATGAAATTCAAATGGCAAAGCAGGATTTTGCTTTGAAGATTTTTTTCTAGTTTTAATGGGATAGATTAATTCCATTAAAATTTTAATATGGTATTTGGCAAACATGGAAACATTCAAAATCATATATAAGTAATTTTTAAAATTAATTTTAAATTTTTTTAAAGATACGTAACTTATAATTCTATTCAAAAGAAAATAATTCTGAATCATTATTGTCGTTCTTCCCATTAAAGAAAAAACTGAACTTTGAACTTTAGTCAAAATTCTAATACTCTTCTGTTAAAATTCCTTTTGAGAGATGTTCTATTAGTTTCTAGTCTAATTTTGTTGAAAGAATATCTGAAGAAACCAAAAACACAGAGAAGGCCCATCTACTATTTGGAATTTTCTGGATTCAAAAATCTTTCAAAGCATGTTATGTCACATGTATTAATCAGTTAACTTCATGGCTCTTTATGATAAATTGTGTATTTTAAACATTGATTCTTCTGTTATTTTCTGCAAAATATTATTCAACATAAACTTTACTGCAATGTAGTTTTATCAGTATGTCTCCTCTCTGTTACATTACTGTCCCAATTGTTTTCAAGAAAACATTGTTTTTAACCTTTTAAAAATATCCATTTGAAAAACTATATCTTGTGACAGCCTATTCTCTAAAAATCATTATATAAATCTAGTCTTTTTAGTCTTGGCCCTGTTATTTACCTGAAATTTGTTTCCCCATTTCTCTAAATGGTTTAAAGCAAGGGTCCCCAACTCTTAGGCAACCATGGATCAGTACCAGCCCATGGCCTGTTAGTAACCGGGCCACACAGCAGGCGGTGAGCAGCGGGCCAGTGAGCGAGGCTTCATCTATATTTGCAGCCGTTCCCAGCGCTAGCATCACTGTCTCAGCTCCATCTCAGATCATTAGGCATTAGATTCTCATAGGAGCACTGGTCTCTGGTGCCAAAAAGGTTGGGGACTGCTGGTTTAAATCATGGAGATTGGTTGATTATTCTTCTACTATTATTAAGTATTACAAAAGGAAAACTGATGTTGGCACATGTATTTTAAATATAGTTTTTAATGTCACCTGAATATCTCCTTCTCATTTTAATCTTTTATAGTCTGAAAATTTAAAATCAACTCTTAAATAGTAAGAAAGTCAGAACACAATCTAATATAGAATCAATCACATTCAGGACACTGAATGCCGATGCTTCTTTCATCCAGGTTTATAGCTTAACAGACATTGTTTAATATGGTAATCTCAGATATGACATTATCTTTTCTTAAATACCTACCTCACATTTCTATTTTATTTAAAGTTACCCTGTTGCCCAATCACCAAACCAAGTATAAAATATTCTCTTCCTCTTAATATTTTACAAACTGATAATTTTCATCATCAGTAGTGGATCTTTTTATTACTCACACCCTGCTTCCAAAGTATACCAATATAATATAATGATCAGATTAGGAAATTTAGCATTTTTTAAAAAATATGCTTTCTTCTCACTGTATAAGTGCCCACTATACAATTTGTAAATGAAACCTCTGTTATCTATTATAGCATCTATGTTCCTGCCTCCGTAACAATTCATCTTAGTCTTCCAAGACCCTACCTCGAACAGTTAAAAAAGTCAATAGCTAAAGTTTAAAGAAAAGCAGTTACCTTCATAAGACCAAATTATTGGATAAATGGTCTTGTCATTATGGCTTAACATTAATATGGCTATAGCCTGGGGACCCATCCCTGTTTTCCCTTATTAACAATGTGACCTGATCACAACTTTTTAAAGTCTAGACTAGTTTTCCATATGTTTTACATATTTTATTCTGACATCACATATTTTAAAAACAAAAGGACACAAACATTCGCACTTATTAATGCGTTTTTCTTTAGCTGTCGTTTGACTTCTTTCCTTCAGACTCTTCAAGGCTGATTTCGATACTGCCCATTTGCTGTGAAAATATCATAAGTGGTCATCTTCAAAGAAATACTCCAGCTGGGCTTATTCACTGATTAGCTGCATAATTTCTTCTAGGACATTTGTAACAGACACAACATATACAGGATTTCAGTTTGGGTTTTTTTTCCTTTTTTTTTTTCTAGGTATGATTCCTGCTTCTTATTCATATTTCTTTTCTTTGAATATATTGCACAATATTTTACTATTAAAAAAAGGTTTTAAGTCTCAGGCAAAAAAGTTTTTCTCCTTCACTTGGGAGGCGCTAATGTGTATTATTTTCTAAAAGAGGTAAGTGGTTGTCTGTGTGGCCATCCTCAAAGGGCACCTAGAGAGAAAAAGACCAAAGCATCAATTTCATTCCTTACCCTATTTTCTCTAAACACAATGCTTTATTTTGAGCAATTTCTTTCCAGGCACCAAATGATACGTCTTAGATTTAACAATGATACCATGACATAGAGATCAGTATCATTTGTACTATAATACTTACAGAATTGACAGGTTTGTAGGATCCAATTCTGAAACGACAGTAAATTATTTCAACTATAAATTTTCCAATTCCATGTAACATGCCTGTAATAAAAAATGTTTTTAATTAAATTATGCTTTTAATAAAATTATTTCCTAAATTGCTATGTAAGACCATAAAACTAATTACAATGGAAAAGATTATGGAAGGAAAGAAAGTAGTCTGCTTTATTCACTTCCACAGTTAAAAATAAAAGACAGTGAATTTTAAACCAAATGGACTTCTTTTCAAAATCCCAAGGCCACATAATTCATGGCCTTGACAAAGCAATCTTTTCAAGGGTGCTTAATACATCACACCCACACAGTTATGAAAAATAAATAATACCAGCACCACAAATGAAGCAGTGACAAAGACTTTCATAAGAAAAGCTAATCAATCATCTAAAAACTATAATTCAAAGTTTATAAACTACCCAGCTCCATGTAATATAGAATAGGGGTTGGGGATAAAGAAGGAACTATTTTCTTTATTATACTTTCAAATTTTTGTGTTTACAATTCTTCAAGTTATCTTTGAGAGACCTCCATAATCTCAGGGCAAAAAAAGCCAAAAATCATGAAAATACTGACTGAAATATTTGGTTTCACATATCACATAGTTCAAAGTAGCATAAGATAGGATTTTACATATTGTACAATTAAAAATACTTTAAATAAAAAAGAAAATTTACATTCAAGTGTCTACTATTTCTAGTTATTTTCTCACCTAATCCTATATATAACACATTTGCAAGTTAGATATTATTATTTCCATTTTTATAGATGAGAAAACTTCAGAAAAGGTGGGTGATCTATACAAGGTTATTACTAAGTAAATGGCAGAACTTTAATTCACTTCAGGAACTTTCTAGCTCACTAAGTAATCTCCCTTAAATCACTGAAGGCAATGAATTTAGTTATATTTGTTTAAGCAATATAATTTTGAAGGTTTAGAATTAAGTCTTCAATAAAAAATTCTTTACATATCAAAACATGAAAATGTGTATATTTCTTGCCCCTTTTAAGTAAAAGCATCAGCAACACTTTCATAAATTAGACCCAAAAAAGGAATAAATCTTAACCTGTTGTTGAAAAGATTCCTCCAACAATACCACAGAGTCTTACAAAAAACTGCCAGAATGGCATATGCTCCTCAGTAACTGTCACCATAAGAGAACTGAGATCATATTTCATAAATATCCCAGAGACTCCATGGCTGCCTGCAGCATGGTTAATGACACGTTCCTAAAAGGAAGGCAAAAGGAAGGGGAGAGATAGGAGGAGAAAAACAGTATTCATGTCATCAGGTTACTTACACAGAGTTAATATGAAGCCCTACAGCCCGACTGTATGAGAGGGACATCCAATCTCTTTATGAATTGCCCTACTAGACAAAACTCTTGAGAGATAATCAAATTGTCCTGTATTCTTTATGTGGTTAGCTTCTGAAGCATCAAGAGAGCAGAATCATTCTTCCCTATTTTCTCAAAAAGATCAGTTTCAAGTTTTCTATTGAGCTCAAGAGCTTACAACTGTATGGCACATTCTTCACTGACTGAATAAATAAAAACTAAGTTCATATTTTGACATAATTTTTATACTATTTCTTTGCTAAGAATTTACAAAATAATCACATATAGTTCCTGTCACTTAAATAGTAAAAGAGGTCAAATACGTGGTGACAGAAACAAATCTAACTATGGGAGGTAAACACACAATGCGATGTATATATATGCCTTATACTTGAATTGTCCACCTGAAACTTACTGGATTTCATTAACCAATGTCACAATAATAAAAAATTAAAACATTTAAATTAAAAAATAAATAAATGATCAGATTTAAAAACAAATTCACTTCGCATTCATTTTAAACTATGAGATACAATACAGGAAGAAAACAGTGCATTAATTTGAAAGATATCAAATTGGTAGTTATGAAAGAGTCACAGGAATGTAAAGTACAGCATAGAAAATACAGTAAATAATACTGTAACAACTATGTAGGTGCCAGGTGGGTATTAGACTTATTGAGGGGGAATTACTTCATAAATTACATAAATGTCTAACTAGTACATTTTACACATGAAATGTAATATTAATGGTCAACTGTAACTGAAAAACAAAAAAAGAAAGGTATCACATTTGAGCTACTGGTTCAGTTTTTAAAGGAATCTTTTTCTTGAAAGAAATGTAACTAAAATTATAAACCTACCACAGTGTGCAAACTGAGAAATATTCTATTTCATTCCATCCTGTTTACACTTCAAAATTCAAGTTTGCAAACTTTCTAATAAATTTCTATTATAGCTCAAAACAACTATGCTGCAAGAGTGCTTTGTTATGACTTTTATGTCAGGCCCTATCTATTTTTACTAAGGTATAACTAAACTGCAAGCTTTAGGAATAAAAATTACAAGAGAAATTAAAACAATTTTATTTGAGACAATACAAAACCCCTTTTCTACTAATACAACAGAGTCTTACAAAGCCATTGTTCAATAAAGTGACTTCATGTTAAAGTAGGTGTGCCTGTTTTTCCAAAAGCTTTGTTACTGTGTAGACTGTCTGATGTTCGGGTGGTGTTGACCTTAGTCAGAAATGGTTTCTCCCCACTCCTACAAGAAATGCAAGAAGCATGATATATACTTGTATACTCTTTACCTAGTCTCTCTCTCTATGTGAAAATGCACACCGCAGACACACACATTTATACATACTTATTTTTCCTATGAACCATTTGAAAAGTTATAAACACAAGACACTTCACCCCTAAAATCTTCAGTATTTAATCTCATATGAATAAGGAAAATTCTACAATTATTGAGATACAGCCATCATTAAGCTATAAGACTATCAAACGAAAACTCCATATGGAGAAAAGCAAATTTTGCCTTAGAATTCTTCTGGATACTAGCATTTGAATATTTTGCCTTAGAATTCTTCTGGATACTAGTATTTGAATATTCACCATTTTTAAACACAATAATAAGAAAATATGACTCCCAAAGTAAATGAGAAATGTTTTACACTGTCCAATTCTAAAACTCTGATCCTCGCTGCTATATTTATTTATAAGACTACCCCACCCTGAGGTTGTAGTGTGTTTGTCCTCTCAATTAGATGAATACAAGCACAAATTAGGAAAGCGAACCCTCAAAATCTGTTATCTGAGCCACAATAGCCATGCATGCCTGAGTGGGTACATTAATTTAAAAATAAGTAAAACACAGAAATCAGAGAATCTGCTGGCAGATAAAAACTGCTTATACCAATGCATGAGAAAACGCATTAAAAAACTAAGATATTAAGAATAAAATAATACCATCGTAGGTTAGTAATTTTAATTGAATACAAAACCTTTCAGATTTAAAAAATCTACTTCTTTTCTTGCTCTAGAACATATGTACCTATTTCCGATATTTTCTTGGCTCAAAATAATATGTTAATGCATTTGAAAACTTTCACAAATTTTAAATAGGGGAGGGCACCAACTGAAACTACAAACTTATTTTGTTGCAGGAGGACAATAAAATGCTTCAAAAAATCATTTTTTCAGTTGGAGTCAACTTACCCTTTCTGTCACAGAAAATTGATGGGTGTCTGCTGAAATTTTATATGTATGTAGTTTTGTTGGCACAACTGTAATAAAATATTGGAACATCTGGTTGTCTAGAATAAAAACAAAATATATTTTTGTCATAAATCCAGTAAAAACAAAACTAGTGCCAAATATATCCCCCTTCTATTAAATACACTTAATCTGAAATTTAATGCTACATATGACTTAATATTTAACAAAAAATAATTTTAAAAGAATGAATGAAGGCAATATATTCATACTTGGTAAAACAAGTTCTCAGTAAGCATAAAATAGTCACACGCACACCTTTTATGAAATGTTTAAAAAGATGAACTAGTGACTTAGACACCTTTATAATCATCATCATCCTTTTATCAAATATGGAAAAGCAGTATTTCTTTATAGTAACAGAAATTAATAAGGCTAAAATTAAGATAGTATAACCACCACTGGACCCATTTTCAGAGTCTACTAATATCTTAAGACATGTAAATAAATCAAAGTTGAATTAGCCAACCTTTGGATAAATGTAAGAAATTGATACTACAGCAGAAAGATAAGAAACTACTCAATGATGGCCTAGGGTTTCTGTGTAATCAAAATCATCATATTTATATAGTCATTAGACATTTCTAGGTTCAATACAAGTCATAAATAACAGTATATTACCAATTATTATTTAATTTTAAACAGTTCGCGTCATACAAAACATTAAATCTCTAGGCATATGTTCTAAAAAATTATGTTTGACCTGAAAACAGATGTACTTCACACCACATGGTAATAATTATCCATAAAATTGTGAGTACATAAACAAAATGCATCAATTTTAAACAAATGATTCGATACATTTTAGCAAATGTATTTACCCATATGATTACCACCACAATCAAAATATAAAACATTTTCATCACCTCAAAAACATTTTCAGCACCCCTCCACAGTCAATCCACTTTATCTCTGGCCCTGGGCCAACCATTAATCTACCTTCTATTGTCATAGATTAGTTTTGCATCTTCTAGAATTTCATATAAACAGAAGCACACAGTATATACATTTCTGTGTCTAGCTTTTTTCGCTCAGCATGAATGAATTTTTATTTCCATCAATCCAATTTCTCTGTCTCTTATCTCAGTGTAATTCAGAATAGGGGAGGAAAGGGTAAAACTGTAAAGAAGAGGAAGAGAAGTAATGCATAATGGTTTCTTTAAACACTATCATTAAATGAGTTTCTAATATAATAAAGCAAAGCCTATTTTAATTTCATTTCTTATTTCTCCTACTACTTGTACCAATATAACTTTCAAAAACAAAGTTTTTGACAAGTTCTTCCACTATTGATTTCAGCTTAACATCCTAAACATTATCACAGACAATATTAGGACAAAAGGATGTTAGCTTTGTCTACCACTGATAGATGGCATATCAATTGTGGATGGTCTTCAGTTTCATCCTTTAAGTTGTTCTTTGACATAAGGTAAACAGCTCAAGGCTGTGCTTAGTTTTGAAGTGTTTTACAAATAAACTCAACATGTCATAGAGAGAGCAAGGTGAAAGTGCTAGGAGAAAAAACGGTGTTCAGGTATAAACTATTTACGGAAAAAAAAATGTAATTGAGAGTAGTGAGGCAATAAATAATGTTGTATACACAGGTGGGATCATTAGACTTGGAGGCAAAATTTAAGGACAAAGGGAACTTCACCACATGTGAGGAGTGAAGAGCCAATGCAATGAATAATAATCACCAAGCGTCAAAGAAATATGACAGGAAAAATTGGAAACTATTTAAGCTGTGGCCAAAGAACTACTGAAGACCTATCTGTCTAATGTTAATTCAAGAAAGGGCTATCAGTTTGTTAAATAATTTCATTGCCAGGTCAGGGGTGGGGGTGGGGAATACGGCTGAATGAAATTTTGTTGGAAGCCACAAATTGTAACAAAGGTTGTATGTCCAAATCTGCACAGTATTAAAGATGTAATTGCTAAGTAATCCCTTCAAAACTTTTGGAGCACATAAAGGAGGAGGCAGTTACCTTAACACAGCAGATTTATAATGCTGATTTTTTTTTAATTTTGAAAAAGAGGCCCAATAAGAAATATATTAGGAAAGAGAAGAGTATACCTGCTTTAAAGCTTTGAATAACCTGCTGACATTCATCTAGTAGCATTTTATAATATAACTCTGCATACCTCTTAGTCTTTTTGAAGTTTGGAATAAGTAGGCTTAAAAAGAGCCTTTTGAAAATGAATCCGTTTCTATGTAGAACCCCTTTTGTGTAGAAATTTATAGTTCCTTTTAGCATCTTGAAACAAAGTATTAATCAACATGTTTTCAAATGAACATCTCTTAAGTAATATTTAATACATTCTGGTACAGAATGAGCACATACTTAAGATGAGATTATAATAAATAGAGTTTATAATTCTCAAAAGGTTTCTACTCACACATTTCCAAATTTAGTATACTCAAGTATCCTTAAATTGTAAACATTCTCATATGTAAACATATATATACTCATGAATGTAAGTCAATATTCTATGTAAAACATCTTTATTGTATCAGATTACACTATGCTAAAGTATAAAATACTGACAAGAATATTAATAAATCAATTTGAATAAAAAATTAAATCCTTAATTACAGTTTTGCAAAGGCTAGAATTCCTACTAGCACAGGAAACTTTAAACATCCTTAAAAGGTCCTATAGGTGGAGCATGTCATAGAATACATCTATTTAACAGGAGGAAAGACAACCAAAAACATCAGAAAATAAGAATAGATGACTTGCTATGAAAGTAAAAAAAAAAAAAATTCATTCACATTTGGATAGACTGAAATTTTAAATGGAATAGAAGGTTTAAAAAACCAGTAATAAAAGGTATCTATGCTATATTACTTCTATTTGTGTTAATAATTAAGCCATTCTAGAATAATTCTAGGTCTCTGATGTTTGTAAAATTCTCCAGAGAGGTTTCTAAAATGTTATTCTAGAACTCTGAACCATACAAAGAAGAAAATTCTTAGAATATTGAACATTTTTTGTTCTTATTCTTTCTTTGGTGAATACAGAAAAAGAGTTATGGAGGATGGGAAAAAAATGGTGTAGATGATATAGAGGCTTTGTTCATCCCTCTTGCGACCAAATCAAAGATGTGACAGAAACACTAAGCAAACAGCAAGCAAAGTTGCCTGGGATCTAGATGAACAGAAGCACAACAACTAGGGAGAGCAATAATTAATCACCTGCAAAGAGAGAAGGTAGGATAAGGTAAGGATGCAAAGCTGCCCAGGCCCGAGCGGCTGAGTGGGATGGAGGCAGTGGCAGTGGCAGCCGGCAGCTGCAAATGCCTCTTAAAGGGACCATGTCCATAAGCGGACTGTTGTAGTGATGGACCTGCTCGCTCTAAGCACCAGTGCCAGGTGAGCTGCACAGGGGGCACCAGGGACTTACAGAGGGGCAGTGAGTTGTCGGAATCAAGTAGGAGGTGAGGTTCTCTCCTGGGCAGAAGTGCCACAGGTATCCACTGTTCCTCCGTTGAGTCCTCTCCCCTCCCAGTGTGTGAACACAGAGCCATCACATCATCAAACTGGATAACAGGTCACTCCGCCCAGAAGAGTCCCTGCAACTCTGCCTCCCTAAACTTGTGGTCCCACCCAAACCACATCCAGTTGTGTCCTCCACAAGTCCGGTATTCCTTGCTGAGCAGCGCCAAGACTCACACTGGTGGCAGCTGGCCTCAGTTTCTGGTGCGGTTTCTTGAGGCAACTATAAGCACAGCATCTGTGGATTGCTTGCTGAATCTTAACAGGTGGCCCCAAAGGGGCACAGGCTGGGGCTAAACTTGGCCTGCAGTTGAATCCCTCTCAGGACTGTGCTTCTGGACACCTACTACACAAAGCCATGTTAAAAAGACCGAGAGACTTAGGAGCTTTGTTTAGTACATAGAAATGGGAAGACAAAGAAGCAGAAGCCATATGAGAGAACAGAACAGAGATCTAGGAATAATAGAGTCAAGGAAGCTAACAGATGCAGAGTTCAAAATGCTGGTTATAAAGATGCTCAATGAATTTAGGGGAAGTGTAGATAAATTCAATGAGAACTTTAACATAGAGATAAAAAACATAAAAATGGAATTGGAAATTATAAAAAGGAAAAAGTCAGAAATGAAGAGCACATTATCTGAGATGAAGAGTATATTACAGGGAATCAACAGAGTGGATAAAGAGGATTGAACCACAGAGACAGAGGATGGAGAAACCAAGGACACTCAATCAGAATGGCAAGAAAAAAGAAGCCAACATTATAATAATTATTTAAGGAGCCTATGGGACACAATTAAATGTAAAAATATCCTTGTTGTAAGGGTACCTGAAGGAAAACAAGAAGTTGAAGAGCTATTTGAAGAAACAATGATGGAAAATTTCCTTCGCCTGGTGAAGGAAATAGACATACAACCCCAAGAACTTCATAAAGTCCCAAAAAAGATGAACCCAAAGAGGCCAACAACAAGACACATTATAATTAAAATGCCAAAGGTTAAATACGAAGAGAAAATCTTACAAGAAGCAAGAAAAAAGTAGTTACCTACAAGGGAGCACCCATAAGACTGGCAGCTGATTTCTCAAAAGAAATTATGCAGGACAGAAGGCATGGCACGAAATAGTCAATGTGATGAAAACTCAGGATCTACAACCAAGAATACTTTATCCAGCAAAGATATCAGTTATAGTAGAAGGACCCATAAAGAACATTACAGACAAAAATAAGCTAAAGGAATTTATCAATACCAAGCCAGTATTATAGTAAATGTTGGAGGAACTTCTTTAAGAAGAAAAAGTATGTATCAAAAATAGGAATAAAGAATGGTAATAACTACATTCCTATCAACCAGTACCTCAAATAGAAAAAAATTTAGTGCTTCGACCAAGAGAGAGAGTGGCTGAATGGATAAGAAAATAAGACCCCTACATATGCTGCCTATAAGAGACTCACTTCAGATTAAAAGACACACACAGACTAAAAGAAAGGAGTTGGAAAAAGATATTGTCTGGATGGATCTAGAGGGTATTATGCTGAATGCAATAGGTCAGATACAGAAAGATGAATATTGCATGATTTCACATACATGTGGAATCCAAAGAACAAAATAAACAACAACAACAACAACAAAGAACAGAAATAAACTCATAGAAATAGGGAATATTTTGAAGGCTACTAGATGGGAGGGAGGTTGGGGGATGGCAAAAAAGGGCAAAGGGATTAAGAAATACAAATGGATAGTTACAAAATAAACATGGAGATATAAAGTACAGCATAAGGAAAACAGTTAATAATGTTGTAATAAACATGTAATAATGATTAATAAACATGTAAGGGGGAAGAGGGGTACTAGATTTAGTGGGATGATCACTTTGTGAATTAGATAGACCTCTAATCACTATGCCATACGACTGAAACTATTATTGTTTGCCAACTAAAAACTCATTGAATTGTACAACTCATTGAATTGTACAATGTAAATACGAGCAACTAATTGTCTATTATATTTCAATAAAGCTGGAAAAAGAAAAGCAGTTATGCCCTAAAAATACATTAACCTTTCGTATATTTAGATAGCTTTTAAATTCTACAACTTCTGCAGCCTACATTTAATTTTTTAGTCTCTTCTATGCCGCCATTTTTAATATTTAAATTTTATCTCCTACTAGGACAAAGTCTCTCTGCACATGACTCCACTTGAAAGTTATCAACTACTTAAAACCACTTAAAGATTTATCTGTTTATCTGTTATAAGAGGGTTAGAAAGAGGATTATTAAAAATGTATTAATATTAAAATATAAGAACAATTGCTTACATGTAAATTCCAACAATAACTATTAAGTACTTACGATCTTCAGCAATTTTTTCAGTTCCATCTAAAGGATTAATAATTCCTGGAACGAGCTCTCCAAAAGACAAATGATCTATTCTGTGAGAAAAGTTGTATGCTAAGAGGCAAAATATAAAACCAATTAAGTAGAGAAATTATATTATTCAAAACACATATTATAGATTGGTTCACAATCTTATCTAATCTCAAATAAAAACACCTAAAATCTGCAGGTATAACAATGTAGTATTTAAAACCACAATAATTTTGAGAAAAATGCTTATAAATATGTGGGAATTAAACGTACAAGGGTAAGTAAATTCTGATAAAATGATATATCTTTAATTTCATGATTACATACAAATTGACATCTAAAAAATATTATATGTCTTTCCTGGTCCAAATCATCACATAGTAATAGGATTGTGTTGTCAGAATAACTGGGATGATGTCCATGAAGCCAAATAATGAAAATGATCAGATAATACACTGCTAAATGTGACATAAGTGACATTTTATGGAATTTATTATTTGTTTTATTCTCTAAAGCAGACTTTAAAAACTAAGATTTATGACAATCATCATAAGAAAATAACTTGAGTACTTTATATGTACATGTATATATGTCCATATTTAGATTTACATATTGAAATATACCTCAAATATATTTCCTTCATTATCCATTAGATTAGCATAAATTTGTACAAAGTGATATAAGGAATACCAAGACTTCCTCCTAACTTTAGCAACTTTCGAGGCATGACTAAATATAAATACAGGTAGCTTAAAGACAAGAAAAAATGGATTAGAATCAATAAATCTAATCATTTATTTTCTCCTTTGGATATCCTGTTTTCGAACAGCCCGCTTTCAAAGCCCTACCTTGCACCTGCACTAAAAAATTAACAAACAAATAAAAAACACTTTTTTCCCCAAGGGCCTCTTCATAGAGAAAATCTTCAGAAACTGCTTACAGTCATGGTTGACAAGTGCTGCCAAATGTGCATGACCTCGGGGATGTGGAATTGCCCTGAAAGGAGGAAAAAAAGATTAAAGTAATAACATTTAAAAATATAGCTAATTAAAATCAGAAAAGAGATCTTTCCCAATTGTGTAATTTTCTTAGTATAAAATAAGAACATACTTGGCCTATGATTTAAGTAGGTAAGTCTACTAATTTCAGCAATATAATAAGCTGGGGGTTGGCTTATTTTCTGTAAAGAGCCAGGCAGTAAATATTTTAGGCTTTGAAGGCCAAGGGCAAAATTGAAGATATCATATAGTTAGGTACATGATGGGAGAGAAAACAAATTTTCACAAGCTTTAATTAAGCAAGACTATGTTCCAGTAAAACTTTATTTTTAGATACTGAAATCTGAATTTCATATTTTTCATGTGCTCTGATATATTATTCCACTAATTTTCGGTGAAGGAAAGGTTGTTTGAAAATTGTAGGGCACTGAGGGGAGGTATTTTCGGTTGACAGTTATTTAGGAGGAGTAGCTACTGGCATTTAGTGGATAGCAGCACAAGGCATCCTGCAGTACAATGACAGTCACACACACAAAAATATTGTTCCACATCTTGCATGACTTCCAAACATTCTAAGTGTCATTTATGTAGGTGAAAAACCTATGTGTAATGATCTGGATCTAGAATTTACCTATACAAAATATGTAGGTGAAAAACCTATGTAGGTGAAAAACCTATGTGTAATGATCTGGATCTAGAATTTACCTATACAAAATACTTTGTTGTAGTTCAATATACAGTAAATTTCCCAGGAAATAGAGGGAATGTTGTTATTTTGTTTCGTTCACAGTATTACAAAGAGCTGTTCACTATTTCAGAATATCACCTCATTAACAGAAATACCATTCATGATATCTGAGTGGCCAATACATCTGTTTTACTCTGCATTTATAGCTGTTGTATACCTAATGATTCTACATATAAGTGGCAAGCAACTGCCTACTTCCCTACCTTATCTAATGTATTCATGCTGAAGAATTTGCATATTGGAATATTATGTTATAAATCATGTTCTTTTTATTTCTTCTTTATAATACAGTTGAGAATGATATTGTGCCTGAGAGGTAATGTGAGATCTTCAAAAAGATCAATATTGAACTTGATAAATCTAGTACCAAAAAATTAAGAGTGGATTTAAGGAATATCTGGGAGATGATAAGGATAAGATACAAACCAAATACTTTTCCATTTGACCTCTCTTATTGCTGGTATGAGTTACACCACATGAAGCAAGAAGTTGAAACTGGGAACAAAGACCACAATATATAGAAGCTCATACGATATTTGTCAAAGTTACTCTTTTTAGTTAGTTTTGGAGTAGGATATTATTTGTATCCAAAGGTGCAATAAAATCTTCCACATTTCTTTGAGCCACCTATTATTTACCATTATTTACAATTTCATGATACCAAAAAATTGTAAAGTTCCCAGCTACGGGTTGAGGATGGGGAGAATGGGTGCTGGCAACAGTAACAAAACAACAAAAAATGAATGTTAAGAGTAGGACAATGAAGACAAAGAAATGTTTGATCTGATCACTGTAAACACTGAAATAATCATGCATAAAAGTCTAATGCTATCTTTCTATCCATATATATATATGATGTCCAACCACTGTCTTTCCTGCTTTGTAACCTTTCTCTCTGATGCCCTTCTCTCCTTTATATGCAAAATTCCTAATCAGCCACTAGTTTAAACCCTATTAAGGTTTTCCTTAATAAAGCCTCCGCTGACTTACAGAGTAGGTGGGGTTATATAATTTCGTATCAGCCATATTTCTCCTTGATACCTTTGCTATAATTATAATTAAATAATCATTAGTATAATTCACTGTTTAATGTTTGGACTCTCATAAAATGTCAGCACCACAGGGACAAAAACCTTTCCCTTTTTTTCAGTTTCACCCTTGGTATCTAGCATGGTACTTGGTGCACAGAAAGTACTCATCAAAAACTGTCTTTTACAATGAAGAATTGTTCAGCTCTGCATCTTAGGAAGGGACAAGGGAAGGGAGAAAGCAGGGAGAGAGGGAGGGAAGATCAGAAAATATATTTATTCATTCAGAAATGTACTGAGTATTTACTGTATAACAGGTTCTGTACTGGGTGTTATTTATGAAGGTAGGTGGTTTAATATTTTTTCTTAACTTCCACCTAATTTAACTTTATCCCAGACATGACGAATATCTAACTACATCAAAATATTTGTCTCAAATAAGGGATATGAAATCCTGAATAATGTTAAGGATTACATTTTGATGATGATTGACAAATGAAAAACAACAACAACAACAACAAAAACCAATTACCATGCAAGCAAAATGAATAAATTAAAGAAATGTCTAGGTAAGAGTTGTTTGGCTACTAAAACTTGGCAAGTTCATATTTACCTACAGCTCACTTCTTTAATATATAAAATATGACATGACTGTTTAACATTTTAAGTAGTTTTTAAAGTTAGTAGTCTTCCCCATCCTGAGAGTAAAGCCCTGAACATCAGTCTTAAGACATCAAAAATATAAATACACGACATTTTAAGCAGTCCTTCACTAGTTAGTAATGTATTATTTGATGAGCAAAGAATTTATTTTTAACCACACTGCCAACTTGTCTAAAGGATTTTCAGTAGGTGAAAAGAACATACTTGCCCACAGTTATGTGAAAATTTCCTGCTACTTTATTGACATAGAGATGACCACGAATTCTGCAAGCATCTGGAGGCTGGGATGAATCCTCTTCCCTATTATAACAAGATATGTTAGGATTGCTTACAAAACATTCAATAAGGTCAACATTTCATGGTGAAAAAATTTAGTAGAGGGGAAAAAATCTTTAAAGATCCATTTTTAGGTAATGTTATAAATGTCAAAAATAGAAACTCATGTTTTTGAAGTCTATATTTATAAAAAAGCATACATCTGTAAAATGGAAAAGAAATTGCATAATTATATATATTTAACAAATATAAAATTCCATGGTTCTCAAATGTAACTAGAGGACTAAGTCCAATGATAGAAGATTAAAAGTAAAGAATTAGTCCAACAAAGATATATTTTCATTATCTGTTTTTGCCACTTTGTGGGGCAGAGGAGGATGGCAATAAGAATGACGTAAGAGAAGGGCATGCTGTCTAAGTTCAAACAGACAATGACATTTTCTTCCTAAGCAAATGTGAAACCTAGAGTTTTAAATTTAAATGATCATTTTTATGATTATTGCATTTCTGAACATAAACTATTCTAATCTATAAAGGAAGAGAAAATGAAATAAAAAAACAAATTCCTCATCAAAATTTATACATCATAATGATAAATGCAATTAATTTGTTCTTAAAACCTAATATAATTTTATAAGGAGGTATACCTTATACATATAAAAGAGAAAATTAAATGAAAATGATTGACCCTTGAACAATGTAAGTATTAGGGGTGCTGACTTCCACATGTATAGCTTTTGAATTCCTCCAAAGTTAACTACATAGTTGTTCTTTGGTATCAGCAGGGGATTGGTTCCAGAACCCAAAGATACCAAAATTTGTAGATGCTCAAGTCGTCTATATAAAATGGCATAGTTCAATGCATACAATCAGCCCTTCTTATCTATGGACTTCCAACCATGAATAAAAAACAGTACAGGTAGTTATTGAAAAAAAACCTGCCTATAATTGGACCTGCGTAGTTCAAACTCATGTTGTTCAAGGATCAGCTGTAATATTATTTGTGATAATCTTGATCAATATCGTTGGCTATAAATTTTAGAGTAAAAAGATATTTTCATCATACAGAATGATTATATTTTCTGAGAAATGAGATTCAGAGGACTAAATCAATAATAAAATTATGTCAAAGGAAATTCATAATAAATAGTTGCACATTTAAAATATACATCTCACCTTGGTGGAAGTGCTGTCGATGAACTTTTAAAAGCACTTTTAAATATCACATCTTGAAGTGAATGTTCTTCTTGCAGTCTACTCTGAATCAGCTGCAGCATCCTAAATATAACACAAACAAGCAATAGTTTATAAATATGGTAAGGTACACAAAGAAGCCAACACTTTTTTAAATATAACAATAGTTAGCTGAATTAGCTAAGCCACACATTTATTACTATAAGACTTTATTTTTAAAAAAAGTACCAAGATTTCTTTGGTCATTTTTCTTAAAAAGTGAAAAAAGAGAGGTAAGGTGGCTATGGGTATAACAGCTGGGCTCCACAATAAGCCTGTCTGACTCTATCAATAATGGACATGCAGTCTGGTTCACCAATAAGGAGCTTTTGTTTATCTAAATATCTAAATATGTCTTTCATGCATGCATGCAGCAATTACAAAATTCTCACTTTTTGTCAGTCATTGAATAAAGTATTACAGACACATAAAATAAGACAATTAAGAGGACACACAATAATTCTGATAGACTTAAAGTGGGGTATAAACCCCCATAGCACAAGTATTCAATTCTCATTATAAACCAGGCCACAGTGCCACTTAATATCACCTGGTGTCTCTTTTTTCCAAAGAAATCTGAACTTTATTCTATGACAAGACCATTCTAAATAAAATATTCTGCTCTACCTATAATTTTTAAAAAGAATATTAGCATATAAGGCATAAAATTATAGAGAACAAAGTATACATTTAAGAACCCATGTGATTCTTTTTAAATATACCTAGCTACAAAGAGTAAATTAGTTGCTTGAATTTTTTTTTACAAAATTATTACATTCACAATAACTTATGAAATTACTCATTCCAAACAACAAAACCAAGAATAAAGGCTTTTCCTCTAACACTTCTACTATTGAGACTTAATATCTCCTACCATTACTAGCAACAACTTTGTCTTTTTAGATATAATCCTATTCTACTTCTTTAATTTCTCTATTTTAACTAACATCCAAGTGCAAAAAGTTCAAACTCTTCAAGTGCAAAAATTTGTATCAAAGTTCAAAGCCTTCAAGTGCAAAAATCATACACAGAGGGCAAGGAGGAATACACCAAGAAAACAGAGGATTTTTAGGGAAGCAAAACTATTCTATAGATATTATAATGGACACGTCATCATACATTTGTCAAAACTCATAGAATATATAATATCAAGAGTGATTCCTAATGTAAACTATGGACTTAGAGTGATAATGATGTGTCAATGTAGGTTCGAGGATTGTATGAAATGTACCACTCCAGTGTCAGATGTTGATAATGGCAGAGGCTGTGCATGTGTAGGGGCAGAGGGTATTTGGGAACTCTATTTTTCACTCAAAAACTACTCTAAAAACTAAAGTACATATATAAATAACTTTGAAAAATTATAAACAAATACAGGTACTTTAAAAAGGAAGCAAATGTAAATCTGATAATAGATCACATCCTCATATCCTACTATAATGATAAATATTTTCTAGAAGTGCAAGTGATGATATACTGATGCACCATCCACTAAAAATCCTAGTAAAACAGGCCGATTTAAAATAATAAGTCATTTTTAGACTATAAATTTAGTTCAGAATAAATCTTAAATCTAGAAATAAAAAGTAGAGATCAGAAAGGCTATATCCAGGGATTGAGATTTACTACTACTGAGAGAGATTAATTAGAATGCCAAATATTTTCAGAAAGAAGAACATCACTTGAGAGAAAACTTAGATCTCTTTTTAGCAAATTCTAAAGGTAAAGAACATTTTGGTAAATACATTATTCAGGATGCCAGGGCTTGAATATCTCTAGTCCATTCAGTAATATTTGTTTAAAAGCAGAACGTCATTCTCTAGGAAGCCTCAAGAAGCCAGGTTCCACCCTCAGAAGACTTAAAATCTTTGGATATAATGCTAGTAGAAACTGAAAGCTTCATATTTTTGTATGTCTAGTATTTCCAGAGTTTAACTTTTAGTGCAGGGCAGTGGGAAAAGAGGTTAATGACATCAAACTATATGTAGAGAGTGTGTGAGTGTGTGTGTGTGTGTGTGTGTGTAACTTCTACCTCAAATATACCAATAAATATCCAAGCTTATATTCCATATATGAAGGTACATAGAAAACTGTATTATGATGGAAAATGTCTAACATTTTAACAATAAAAACACAATCTCTTTTCCCACTTATTACTAGTCTTGAGCAATGAATAAAATTCCAAATGAAAGGTGGCTTCTCCCTTTAATATGTCCAGATTAAAGCAACACATTTCATCTCTAGATGCTTTTCTACTAAAGCACTAGAAACCCAGAGACATCTAAGCCCTAGTTCTTTTGTTCAACTACATTCAATTTCAACCTTAATTTTAAAATCTCCTCAAATGGTGAAACTGGAAATTAAAAGAGAAGGCCTCTGAAATATAATTAGAGACTAGAAAGAAAATTTAAAGAAAGATGGGTAAAAAATATTTATTTGTAATAATAAAATTATGTAATAAAAATATTTATTTTTAATAAAGCCTTTCTAAGCACAAGACATAACCTGGAAACCGAAAAAGAAAAAAAACAGTCTATGGTACCGGGGGTGGGAGAACTACTTATAACAAAGGACTAATTTCTTTAACATACAAAAGATTCTTTAGAGTTAGGGAAAAAACCAACAACCAAGCAAAATAGGTAAACAGCATGAACGAGCAAGTTCACACACAAAAAAGTACAAATGGAAAAAAAACTCACCAATAAAGATATTCAATTGATACATTAAAAAAAATGCTAATTAAAACAAGTACAATTTTTCACCCATTAAAATGGCAAAAATAAAAAAAGGTCTTGCTATTGTTGAGACTGTATAGAAATAAGTACTCTCATATAGTTTTAGAGTATAAGTGAAACTATTTTGCTAACACGTGCCATTATCAAAATTTTTTCCAGTTTTATTGATATAATTGATAGATAACATTTTATAAGGTATACAACATATGATTTGATTATGTAGCTATTGCAAAATAATTACAATAAGTTTAGTTAACAGCCATCACACCTGACTGAGTTAAATTTTTTTTCCTTTGTGATGAAAAACTTATCAAAATGTTCTTTCCCTCCCTCTCTTTAATTTCTTCCCACCCCCACTTCCACCCCTGACCTATGGATGTTGCCATTTCCCCTTAAGAACTGGATCTCTGAAGGCAGGGCATCTCCTGTGCACCCGGGGCCTGGCACACCCAGGGTATGGTCTGAGGCTCCACCTGGGGAGCGAACCCAGGACATTCTGCATGTAAAGCAGATGTGCTAATAACCACTACACTGTGGAGCCACCCCCTCAAAATGTTAATTAAATATCCTCTGGAAGAAAAATTCCATTTCTAGAAACTACATACACGAACGCACATAAACATACACACAAGTATATAAGAAATTAGGTTCAAGAATTTTCACTGATTATTGTTTTTAATATTCGAATCTTACAAGCAATCTAAATACCTGTCAATAACAATCCAATAAATTAGTTTATACAGAAAATGGAGTACTATATGTAGTGATATGAGATGTACAAAATATCATGTTAGATGAAAAAAGCAAACTACAGAACAAACATATGGAATGATCCCATTCATATTAGGAAAGTAACATACCAAACATACCAAAATGTATATGAACAGAAGATTTCTAAAAGATTACACAAGAAATTTAACTGATTATTACCACTAGTCAGTAGTACTAGGTTTATGGAATGATGAGAAGGCTTTTACTTTTACTTTATATCCTTTCTATTCAAACTGAATTTGAAACAATGATCTTATAATGCTTTTAAAAATTTTAGTTAATAAAATTTTAAATGAAATTAAAGTGCACTAGAGGTGAAACTGTACATGACTTTCCTAAGATCTGATAAAATTTTTGAAAGTATAAAGATTATATTTATATACTATATTCTGCTAATATTTCATACAAAAAAATGCCTAGAGAAATATGCTAATCTATTAATAATTTACAATAGAAAAAATAGACAAAATGTGACCTAGATTTTTATGGCCCACAATACTTTACTTATTACCTCTGCCACTCTTTTTGCTGTGGTGAAAGATCAAATATCACCTGAAATAAAGGAAAACATAATCACTAGCATTATCAATTTCTCTTGGCTTTTATGTCATAATTTTTAAAAATTTTTCTTTGAGCAAGAAACAAATTTATAGTGTTGCTAAAAACAAGTATTCATGATTTACATTTAATCTTCAATAAGTCAACATAAAAAGTTTAAACAAGATATTTTTAATCAAAAATAGTATAATGAAATTTTACTAATTAAATATTTGCCTGTTATAGTTATCTACATTTAAAGGAATGGATACAAGTCAGTAATCTATCATATGTACAGAATAGTATTTTAGGACTTAAAATCATTTAAATGATGCCAGCATGAAACTTACGATTATTAAAAATGGAAAAAAAATACATACAGCTTAAATACAATACTCAAGCTTCCAAAGCCCATATTCCTGATGGGATAATACTATGATGAAATCAACAGTTTTTGAAAATGAGCTAAACAATAGCACTGTAATTCTTAAATGTATTAATCAATGAAGAATAATTCAAGAAATTTTATCTAGGCACTGTCTTCATCAATTCAAAATCAGACTTGGCTACTTATAGAATCAGAAGGAAATATGGAAGCTTCTCATGGTTTGTGGCAATGTTCACAGTTTAATTTCGCAACAAAAGCTCCACTTTTGATTTTCATAAAGGCAATTCATAAGAATATTTTTTTTTTAATTTATTAATTAACCCTCCATTATCAGGCCCTAACATACTACTCTCTATAAATCCTTGCTCTCTAATAAAGTGAAAGAATCCCTCATCTATCAAATAGTTCTACCTCTGTGCCTTTGGTAATTTAATTATATCAACCTGGAACCTTCCTCCACTGTTATTTTGACCCTCATGTCTATCTAAATTCTACAAACTATATGTTCCAGGTTAAATTACCCCATCTTTCTGATTAC